ATGTTCCAGTGTTGTTTTATCCATTTATTATATGTCTCGTCTGTCCTGGCAGAGGGCTCCCTACTCTGTTGCTCCTCTAGAGGTAGTATTTTCTTTCAATTAAACGCTCTTTCGGGGGGGAGTTCTTCCTTATCCAAATCGACGGTCTAAGGATAGAAGATGTTGCACGCTGTACAGATTGTAAAGCCCCTTGAGGCAAATTGGCTTGACTTCATTTCTAGTAGTTCCACCCAAAAAAGTGGAAAAAGTGTGTGTGTGTATAGGGGGGGGGAAACTACTCATACTCTGTCCTCATCATCATTCGTTGCGCTCCAGTATCCGTGATGACAATTCATAAAAGTATGCAGCTCTGCTTTGACCCACAATCCCCTCTGCTGTCTTTTCTGGGAAGACCCGGTGGAACAGTTTAGGGGTCAAGAATCATGCTCAAGGACACTTCAACAGTTTGTGGTTATGTGCCAACATGTCTGAGCTTCAGGCTACCAGAGCAGTATATTCTTCCAAAGGACATGCAATTATAGTCCATGTCATCAAAGCTCGCCAAAGCATGCAAACACACACGCAGTACAACACAACTAACACGCATACATGTATTGCAATGTATGCATATTGTTTGCCTTGCTCTAGACCTTTATTATTTGTCCATGCATATGCATCTACACATCAGAGCTAATTCATTGACCCGTAATGCAATTTCATGAAACCAAAGCGAGGGTGACCTCTGAAAACGACGTTCTGTTTTTTCCCCCTCTGTGGAGCCATCAGTTAGATTCAGCCCGTTGTTATTTCATTTATAATGTACTGAATCTACGACCAAGGACATCACTATGTGTATGAGTTAGCTAACTGTCCCCAAAGGATTATGAAACAGATTTATGACGTGTCCGACCGGCCTATTACGATGAGAGCGCAGGTCACGGTGGCGCAATTTGTTTTCGAGTGAGGATGTGAAGCAGCAAATGATTGGCTTAGTCACCTTCTGAATGGTTTCTTTATGGAATTTGTCCAGAAGTAATTTGGTTAAGTATCAATCTAGTTTTGATGTCTTCAGAACACACATCCCTTAAATCTTTGACAACACGCCTCAGTCACTTCACCTGTAATGCGTTTAGGCTCCCGTCTGGTATAAATTTCATCTCCGTCGATTCGGTACATTAGATATTATTATATTCCTTTGTCTTGTCTTGGATTCCTAAAGAGCTTTCTTCGCAGCACTTCAGTACATGGGAAAAACGATTCTAATTTTAAAACTTTGTTCCCAACAGTATCGCTCTACGAGGCGTTAAACCATGCAGCAGAGTTCAGTGAGCTGTGTTCAACACTTCCCAAAAGAAGTGTCCTCTCCGTGACTTCTTACGGAAGAGGAAATGAAAATCAAACAATAATAAACCAAATGAGTTTGTGTGGGACTATTTATAACTTGCAGATACTTGTGAAATGTGAGTGAAATAAATCAGCGTTGTCTTTTGGAGGACATCGGGACATCGCAGATCTGCAGCTTCTGCCGTGTAAGACAAGTACACGTCTGGTTGCGGCGCCATATTTAGAGTGGCGAGCGATGCTGAATGGCATTCAGTGATTTTGCAGGAGTTCAGAACTACACTGTGTCATTGAGGATGCGGCTTCAATTCGGTGTAAATAGAATGCATTTTTATGAGTGCTCTTTTGTTTATTACTGTGTTTTTATTCATGAAAAAGCAGGAATCCAATAAAACACAAACAGCACCGTTTCCCTCTATTAGTTTCTCCCCGACGCTCGGCGTGTAGGTGAGGCAACAGACCGAAGTGAGGTCAGCGTGAAGTGTACCGCTATATTCAAATGGCGGTGAGATATATACGCGTTGTCTGAAGTGTAGCTGTCAATAGGAAAAGTCAAAAAGTCAGTCAGGTGGTGACATCTTGGCGACAAGTTATTCTGCAGTGACAGATGACATTTCTGTGAGGTTGCATCTGGAGTACTCTGGCACTGAGGCAAAGCTGGCCTTTCACTCTGTCTGCCTAACTAGCATTCATCAGCAAACCCTCGCACACACATACACCGCCCACACAGGGATAGAACATGTAAATGGCAGCTGGCTCCGTGAGTCCAGTGTCCCCTCTCTTTGTCGTATTGTTTCGTCGGCTTTCAGATGCCGCAGTCAGAGCCGTCCTGCAATGTCCTTGCAAGTTTTTTTTTTTTTCTTTTTTTTAATGACATGAATATGAATCATTGTTCCTTGTTTTCCTCCCGTCTTTCTGTTTTCCTCTCCCTCTTAAACAGAATACTAGTCTGGAGTGGTGCTCGATGAAACTCAAACAATGGCCCATAGCTATAAGCTCGTTCAGCAGGCACTACTGCCACTTCTTTATTTATCTCTCTTTAGTCCCTTCTTCTATCGTTTCCTCCTCTTTCCCTTCTTCCTTTGTTGCTTTTTGGCACAGGCCGGACATGTGACAGCCCACTGTCAGTGAATCCGCTCTATTCAAATGACGCTTGGCCTGAACTACATGAATCCCTGCCTTCATTTTGGGTTCAGAAGAACAGCAGCAGGTATGCAAGCAGACACAGGGCAGCAAAGGGATTCTCCCCCAGTGATTCATTTGAACTTTTCCTCTCTTTGAAATGGCATCACAGAGGCTCTGCATGATTAATGTCACCACACTTATATACACTGTTCTACTCAGAATGCCAGCTGAATATTGGAAAACCAGCAACTTTATTGAATGCCAGTGGGCAGGTCTGAATAAACTGTGGTTTGATTGGCAATCAGCTCGCTATTCAACCTTTCCAGCTGTCCGTGTAATGTCGTGCACTCAGGTGAACACACCCACCAGCTAACTGAGTGGTGCCGTTTCATGACAACATTGTGCAAACGGGCTACTTAATGGATAGCAATACAGTGTTGTTGGTATGCATTTTTGTGGATGTGATGTCAGTTCAACGTGAACTTAATGCTAGAAAATATCGTACACACTGTTCCTGTGACACGAGCCTTTTCTATAATAAACAGCACTGGTCTGCATTTCATAAATAAAAGAAAAGATCTCTAATTTGTGATGCTATGAAGAGAGACAACCACTGACTCAATCTGAAGTTATTGTTTGTTGAAGACAAATTGTTGTTTTATGATTCTCTGTCATACTGAAGCCCAGCGGAGCTCTCTGTCAATAAATCACAGCAAAACACAAAGTCCCATTGGCACAGGACTAGTATTACCTGAGGACCTCTTGTAATTTGTAGTGATTGTGGAGGCTGTCTGTGATCTTAATCCTGAACAAATGTGCCATGTCCGCAATTTGTAAAGTGAAACTACCATGGATCTCTGAGTTTTTGCCAAAGTATGAAGATCCATAAATAGAAAGCTCAAACCCATCAGAAGAGCAAAATCTCAAAGGATGATTCGAAGTACAACATGCACGGCAGCATGCAGCTAGGAGCGTTTTGCTGTCTTTCAGCAGGCTCAACAGTTACGTGGCAGCCTAATATTATCATATATTGGGATAGCGTCAGAATAAAACACAGCCTATGCTTATTCTGTGTGAATGCACTGCATATAACACAGACTTAGAGGGGTAACTTTTTAATAACAAGGTCCCAAGGTAAAACTGCTTCCACGCTAATAGTGCTAAATTTATTTTTTCTATCACTGGCTCTACTTTTACACACTTTAACCGTTTTGGACATCAAATATTTAGGTGAAACTGAAACAAAAATGTTGCCTTTTTTATTGTAGCATGTATGTTTTTACATGATTCTAAGATTAAATCTGAAAGTATACTGAAATGAACAGGTTCCACTAACAAAATTGATTTATCTCCATTTCCTTCATAAAAATAAAATTTGAAAAAGTTATTTTATGATTGGATGGATGGTATCTGGACTCCAGTGTTATTGCTGCAAAATACACTCAGACACATAATTCAGTATTGTGGAGATCAGCTACACCTCAGTATTTTCATGTGATACACTGATTGCATGTCTTAAATGGCTGCTAAGCCCGGAGGTACACAATCTGACTTGTAGCTGAAAATATTGCCTTTCCCGGCATGTACTGCAGCGACGCAGTGCTGCCATCTGTATTATGAGCGTGCACGCTGATTCTGTCAAAGTACTCTTTATTGAAACACTAAACCCTGAACTAAACCCTCAACCTTGCACTGCCACCACCTTCAGGAAATACAAGCTTGTCAGGGGGGGTTTGTTATCTGTAGGGAGAATGTGTGGAATGACAAACAGCAGTCCAATTCCTACTTCTTCTTATCCAGTGTTTTCCCTCATTTGGTCACTGGCCAGCATATATGACCGGCTCCCATTTGGCCGGACCACACAAGTGCTTGCTCCTCTCAGTCTGAAAACATTATCTTGTTGCTGCCCTGACTGTCCCATGTTATCCTCTGGTGGATATTCTTCTTGTTGACTCCATGCTGAGATTCTGATGCTTCACTTTGCACCTTCTTCCTCTGAGACTAAACAACAAGATCCATCCAGTGAGAGCAATGGGAACTTTTCTAATTATTGCCGCAATTATAATCATGCTTGTACTGCGGCATTGCCTCTCTGGGCCCTGCGGTCCCACTGCTAGCTGGATGGGCACACAGAGAGAAAATGCTAATCAACATGGCAGCTTCATCAACTTATTGGTGGCTGGTGTACGGCAAAAAGAGCCTCTTCACTCCTTTCAAGGGTGGTTGCAATCAGAAGCAGCATCTATCCATATTTCCTTCCCAGAGGGAAAAAAAAAGGGCTCAGCAAACATACCTGCAGTAGATCCCCAGGATGGGAATACCATTTAGATTATAATTGGATTTAGGAAGTGAAACCCTACGTGTTTGACTAGCTTCATCAAACAGTATTCTTGCATGATTGTCAACTGCTGCAATTTTCTTGGCATTTTCTCATTTTTATGTCTCTGTGTGAATCTGGTTTTAATAAAAGACAATTCACAACACACACACACATCATATATCAGCAACACTGAGAACAACTGTACAGTTTAAGACACTGAGGTGAAGCTTCTTACCTCCTCCCACTGGTGGATGTAGCGAATGAGTCTGGAGAGGCGCAGGAGTCGCAGCAGGCTGAGGATCTTGGTGAAGCGGACAATCCGCAAGGCGCGCGCCGTCTTGTAGAAATCCGAGTCGATGCGCGTCTCCACGATGAGGAAGATGTAGTCCACAGGGATGGAGGATATGAAGTCCACCACAAACCAGCTCCGCAAGTACTTGATCTTGATCTGCTGCGGATCCAGGATGATCTCCGTGTTGTCCTCCTTGACGATACCCGTCCTGAAGTTGAGAACCAGGTCCATGAGGAAGAAGGTGTCGGAGACCACGTTGAACACAATCCAGGGGGGTGTGTGCTCGTCTTTGAAGAATGTGATGCCGACGGGGATGATGATGAGGTTGCCAACCATCAGAAGCAGCATGGTCAAATCCCAGTAAAACCTGGTTAGAGAAAGAGAAGTTGAATACTTCGTTAAAAACACAGCAAATTCTCATGCTCACTAAAAATAAATAACATATCAGTTAGAGACAGCCATTGCATACAGCATCGTGTATAATATACACACTATACACACATTTTTTTCTACACTGAGCGTTAAACACATTCTCAAGCAAACAGGCATAAAGTATAAACCAACATTTGTATGAACTGCAACCACTTACTATGTTATTCATAGAAATCAAACAAATTAAAAT